GGAAAGGTCCAAAAAGCAAAAAGAGCTTGAGGCAATGATTCAGGTCCATTGAGGAAAATGGTCCACTGCAATCAGGTTCCGTGTTCGAGGGGGGCGGGGAACGGCGGATCCTGTCAGAAAGAAAGTGAACCGGACCGTCCTCGAAACATGGTTGTGTAAGCAAAGCCATGCTGGTGGGAGGATATAGGCGTGAAGGTTGGGACTGGTGGCCGAAAACCAGGGTTCTTGTCAGCCGGCGCACAGCAAGTGCAACAAACTCAGCGCCTCAGGCGCGCCGGGGGATAGTTCTTTGGTTTTCTCCCCCTAAGGAGAACTTCACAAGGCGCCTCGACCAGAATTTCACAAGGCGCGTTAGGCCCAAACTTTGGTTTTCATGTTCGAGGCTCAGCCCACCTTTGTGACGTTCCGCACCAGCGCTCGCACCGGCACCTGGCGGTCCTTTCGAAGAAGACTCCCATCCCCAACCTCTGAGCGAAGGACCTCGAGTCGGAGAACCTGACGACTGCTCCCAATGAAGGCGGGGTAAATCGAAGCGTCTGGGCCGAATTGATCAGGGCCATCCCGCGAAGACCTGAAAGCTGGGACCCGCAGCATCATCAGTTTTGTTTGAAGCTTCACTGTGTCTCTCGGATTCCACCCGGACCTGACCGCCGATGCCTTTCTCTTCTGAAAGAAATGAATCAAGACTGTCTGTCCCAATAGTTCAGAAGGTCAGTGTCTGTCATTTGCGCCCTGTCATGTTCATCAACTGCAGACAACCACGAGCACGGAATCAAACTGGGACTGATGACATCATTTCATGTATAACAAATGGTTGGAGCTAGTCCACCAACCACTTTGGACTTGGTGTTCCCGCCATTGCCAGCATTCACAAATCCTAGAACACAAACAGGTGGAAGCATAAAACCTGGGGAGACTTCAACAAAATCATCAGTCCCACCAAAGGGGTTAGGGTTAAATGAGGCCCATGTTGGACCCTTCCAGCAAAACCTAGGTGACGGTTTTAGCTTGGTGGTTTCATGGTTGGATTGGCAACTTGGATCCGCAGTTTTGGACACCTGGTGTGGTCTACCTACTCAAAAAGGGGCAGCCGCTGCCAATCCAAACTACATACCACCATCCCAAGCCACAGATTCAAGCCACAAATCTATCCACAACACCTCTGCGAGCCCATTCCAAGGTGCAGAAACTGGGTCACAATCAAACCTGGCATGGGAATGGCCTACCCAGGACGAGGCAATTAAAGAGGCAGCTGCACCCATTAATGGTTTGGATTGTCCCTGAGTAACCTTCACCAACCCGGGTTTTGATTGTGGCTCACTTTTTCTCGAAAAGTGCGGTCCTTGAGGGCATGGTAGAGCAGGCTTCCGGATCGGCCAGTCGCGCCTGTTACATGCCCGGAAAGCTGGGATGGAATGTGTATATATGTATAATATATATATATATATATATGCAAGGGCAATAGTGCCGAGAATCTGCACAAGTCCTAGAGCCGCTAGAGCCGCAGAGCCGCCAGAATGGCTGGAATCATCAGAACATCACGAGATCCATGTGCCTTTACAACAGGGACTATTTGGAGAAACACGTTGTATTCCTGACCTTCCTCACTGGATTGTGTGTGTGTAAGTTGTTGGTTGCAAGGGTTAATCTCACACCCATGCCCGTCAACTCATGGCACGCACTAAGCAGTTGTGAACGCAACGAAGTTGTTGCTTGCATGCCTCGCATCGAACATGCATTTGCCGGAAGTTTATGAGTGTGGCAGAAGCGCTACGCTTGATTCATGTGCAAGATTGCAGCAATCATGCATGATGAGAAAATATGCAACAACACTCCCAATAGGAAAGTCCATTATTCCATCAAGGCAAACCCATTTTTCCAAACTTCAACCTAGTGGGCTAGTGGGTTGGCTCCTTTCTCACCCAATGTTCCGTTTGGTTCAAATGTACCAAAACAGTTGAGCTGTGGGGAAAAAAAGAAGACTGCTTGCGCCACCCAAATGCTTCAACCCGTTTCTTCTTGTTGGCCTCACCATACATCCCCATTAAACCCGGGCAGAGGAAGCCCTTCCAAAATGGCCCACTTGCGAGATAGCTTTTCGCCCAGCTGAAGACTCGAACAAATGTCGAAAAGCAAGGGTTGCTATAAAGATTCTATTTCTTTATTGGGGATCCTGTGGTGAACATCATTTACCGCTTCTGTGATGGTTCTCCATTGACATTCAAGGCCATATTTGAACGAGGAACATGTTTTTGGAAAAAAACCTAATGCGATTGTTCCATCAAATCCAACTCCGCCGCTTGCCACGCCGTTCCGCGGATCCGCGGGGTTCGCACCTGTGACCAGCACGGAGGCTTCAGCCGCCAGGGCGGCGGCGGCGATGAGAAGGCCTGCGCGCAGGCTGGAGGCTACCTGCTCATGACGCAGCATGTATGCGTGTGTGTCTATGTGTGTATGTAGGTATGTAGGTATGTAGGTATGTAGGTATGTAGGTATGTATGTATGTATGTATGTATGTATGTATGTATTTGTGTATGTTCGTACGTACCTACGTATGTATATGTATGTATGTACGTATGTATGTATGTATTCATGTATGTATGTATGTATGTATGTAATTTATGTATGTGTGTATGTATGTATGTTCGTACGTACCTACGTATGTATGTATGTATGTGTGTGTGTATGTATGTATGTACGTACGTATGTATATATTAGTATTGGTGTACGTATGTATGTGTGTACGTAAGTACGTATGTATGTATGTACACATGTACGTACGTACGTATGTATGTATGTACGTACGTACGTATGTATGTCTGTATGTAAGTACGTACGTACGTATGTATGTACGTATGTATGTATGTATGTATGTATTTATGTATGTATGTATGTATGTATGTGTGTGTATGTATGTTCGTACGTACCTACGTATGTATGTATGTGCGTATGAAGTATGTATTTGTGTATGTATGTATGTATGTATGTATGTATGTACGTACGTACGTATGCATATATGTACGCATGTATGTATGTATGTACGTACGTATGTGTGTACGCATGTACGTTACGTACGTATGTATGTATGTATGTACGTATGTATGTATGTATGTACGTAAGTACGTATGTATGTATGTACGCATGTACGTACGTACGTACGTATGTACGTACGTACGCATGTATGTATGTATATGTGTATGTATGTACGTACGTGTGTATGTATGTATATATATATATATGTAATGTAATGTAATGTAATGTAATGTAATGTAATGTAATGTAATGTAATGTTGTGTATGTATGTATGTATGTATGTTTGTATGCATGGATGTATCTGTGTATGTATGTATGTATGTATGTATGTTGTATGTATGTGTGTGTATGTATGTATGTATGTATGTACGTACGTACGTGTGTATGTATGTAGGTACATGCGCACGTATGTCTGTACGTACGTACGTATGTATGTACTTGTGCATGTATGTACGCGCGTACGTACGTATGTATGTCTGTATGTAAGTACGTACGTACGTATGTATGTACGTATGTATGTATGTATGTATGTATGTATGTGTGCGTGTATTTATGTATGTACGTACGTACGTATATATGTACGTATGCACGCACGTACGTACGTACGTACGTACGTGCGTGCGTGCGTGCGTGGGTGTGTGTGTGTGTGTGTGTGGGTGTGCGTGTGCGTGTGCGTGTGCGTGTGCGTGTGCGTGTGCGTGTGCGTGTGCGTGTGCGTGTGCGTGTGCGTGTGCGTGTGCGTGTGCGTGCGCGTGTGCGTGCGCGTGCGTGCGTGCGTGCGTGCGTGCGTGCGTGCGTGCGTGCGTGCGTGCGTGCGTGCGTGCGTGCGTGTGTGTGTGTGTGTCTATATGTATGTATGTATGTACGTACGAATGTACGTATGTATGTATGAATGTGTTAAAAGGTCCTCTGTAGAACCTAGCAAGCATGCTACCTACAGATCGCATGGATTCTCCTTTACTCGCGGTTCCATCATTTTGGTGGTTTCAGGTCCAAATCCCGTTTTGGTTTCAGTCCGGTTTAAAGGCAACTAAAGGGAGAAACCACCATTCGTAGGGCATCTCTATGATATGGGGGCCAAAATTCGGGAAAGGAAACCAACAGCCTGCAGAGGTGCTTAATTTTGAGAAACCCTCGAGTGGCAAACGACTCTCGTGGTGCAAAAAGCGATGGCTGGTAGGGTACCTTCCTCATCCTTCCCGAAAACCATCAACCAAAAACTAGGGGAAAACGGCGGCCTGTGAAAGCAGCGAAGGTTGGAAAGAATGGAAAAGGAATCAACTAGAGCTTTGTGCCTGGTGACCTAGAAAAGCAACCCTAGACATTCCGGTCCGAGGCCGGCACCCCTCATCTCGTCTCAAGCTGCAGTCGAGCCGAAAGGGCCACAATCGGCAAGCGCAGAAGCTGGGCAAATGAACCTGCCAAGTCCCTAAGTTCGTCTTCACATGTGCCCGTTCAAAAGGGGCGTCCTCCAAAAGGGGCAACCTACATATCAGCTGAAAAAAGATTATGTATTCTCAGCTGGCCTTTGATTGCTCCAGTTGATTGGCTGGTCCCGCAGCCTCAAGCGCCTAACGTGGGCAACGGGACTTGCTTCTATGGAGCAGGTCGGTGACTTTGACTCCATCTGCCGTCCCTATCATTGGGCGCGGGTAGACTGAAAGTTTAATTCGAATGTGTCGTGATCGGTGGTCAGCCTTTGCATCTTTACATGGGGATTGGTGGCCAGCAACTTCTTGAAGAATTCGTATTAAAGCTCGTCCCATGGCCGGTGGTGCGAAATAGAAGTCTGGCGGAATCACACAACTGATCCAGTCCTATCATAGAGCTTCACATAGCGCTTGAATTTCCCCATCTGGGGGTTTCTTCGAACGCGGTTTCCTCTGGGTTTCCCTCATACCCACCGAAAGGGGGCGTTTCCATATTCATTTTGAGAAACTCCCATATCTCACTCTGGGCGCCAGGGCCGGTGTGGCCCCGCAAGGTGTGCAAGCACTTACCAGTGCTCGCGCACCAAATCCGCGCAGCTTCGTCGCTTGACGAGCCCACCACCTCAGATGCAGGTACTCTTCCTCCAAACACAACTCGGAATATGCTTGGTTCATGGTTGAGGTTTACAGGGGCTTTACTATAACGTAACGTAGTGAGCTAGAACCGCCTGCCATGTCTGACGAAGCGTTTGGGTGCTGCTCATTTGTTGCCTCAACCAACAACGGCCCGCCCTTCACATATGTCCCCTTTGAACATCACCCCACCAAAACAAGACTCAAATCTGAACCAAATACTTCCAAAGAACCCAAAACGAAGTCAAATCCCAAATCTCCCGAGAGTCAGTGTTCGAACCTATTTTCGGGTTCCTCATTAAACCCCCACGCCGCAGTCCCGCCCTGGGCCCCCGGCGCGGTGGCCTGCGGAACAGAACTGCCCTGTTGCCTCAGAGCGTCCATCCGTCGCGCAGCAAAAACACGATGTTGAGACGAGCAAAACACGGTGTTGAGTCTTTCCCTTTGCAAAGGAACATGCAAAAAGCGGCCACCATTCAATCTAACTTGTTACCGGATCCTGCCAGGATAGTTTCCTTTTTGGCTTCCCCTGTAAACCATCAGTTGCATTGGAGGTGTTGCAAAAACATGTGTCAAATAAAAAAAGAACTTGTGTTCCGTGTAGATGAGGGGATCACAAACCACCACAAGTAAGGATATCCATCCAATACAGCCAATTCCAAGCTCAAGGTCCCTGCCGCAGCGCCCTCCAGCTCTGCCACAGCTCGGCCGGTCTCAGCCTCGAACCAGTCGCCAATCACTTGGCTTCCCATGGGTTTGTCCAAGGTGGGGCGAAATCAGCACTCGGAACGACGAAACCTGCCCGAGATGGAAGTTTGATCACCAGACACTTGGTTTTGTGCCAACATAGGAGGGAGGGAAGCCTCAAAATAGATGGTCTTATCTTGGTTTTCTTTGGAACCAACCCAAAAAAGGGTACCCTCCAAAATGACACCCCCACAGTTTCCCTTAAAACATCACCCCTGCCAAATGGGGCCAAAAGGTGATGCTTGAAACCACCACAATGGGATGTGTGTTTTCGCGGATGCTCCTAATGTTGAGCTCGGATTCAGCAACCTGGTGAATGAATCTTCACCAGAGGTTTATTCATCCTGGGTTCCCATTAGCAACTAGCCTCCTCCTGTTTCCAAACACAGCTAGTATGTCCATCTCCAATCCTTTGAGAATCCGACTCCCCTCAGCCACATTCTCCGCGAATCCAACACATGGATTCAGGCCTGCTCCCAAACCTTTGTGGGTGGGACTAGATGAAAATTAGCATCAAGCAAACCCTAAACCCAATACCCTAAACAATGAGAAGTAGACCACCCGGAGCAGGCTCAGGGGCGCACGCACCAAATCTGACCCTCACCACCGGCAGCCACAGTCAGTAGCGACCGGCCATCAGGCCTTGGAATGCGTCTGCAGGCCGTCTGAATGTGTTTGCATTTGAAACGATTCCATCTTGTGCACTCGGAAAAGGTACACCCGTGGAATTGGTTAACAGGGCACCCAATTTAGGACACTTGGAAAGGCCCAACTGTGACCCGAGCAAGAGAGCACCAGGTGAGCCAAACCTTGAGCTCGGGGCGCCAGGGATGCGGAGAGCACTGGCCCATGACTGTCAAGAGCCTGGTCCCGTGCGCAGGTCCCTTCATATTGTTTGCTCTTCAAGCGGATTCCAATAGCATTGAGAAGCTGCTCGAAATGCACCTTTCGAAAACCTGGTGGGGAATTTACTCAAAGGACGGGACTGGCGTTTCCGTTGCCGGTTTGGGGAGTTGAGTCTCCATTTCACCAGGCAGATTGGGTGCCCCTTCCAACATGGAAGTGGATAGGTGGGCGCTGTTTCCTGGCAGTTGCCAAAACCTTATCGGCTTCCATGCGTTTTGGACGGCATGCATTCGCATTCTCAGGGCAGACTTCAGGCTTGACTTCAAGGGCTGTGAGAAATTGTCTCCAATCATCCCAGAAGTCTGCTTCGCAACAGCACCCCGGTTCGCGCCTCATCCTCTCGAAAGCTTGTGAAAGGGTTGATGTCGTCCGTCGCCTGCACAGGCGTCCCTCTATTTTCCCCATTTAAATGTCGTCCCAAAACAAAACTCGCGTGTGGCACCTGATGTTCCAGCAATTTCAACAAACAAAATCAGGTGGACCCCTGCCACCCAACATCGCGCTTTCCATGCTGGAATGAGTCACTGGGCCTTGCAAATTCTCTTTGGTGCCCCAAACGGTACCCCTATCCAACATGGACTTTGGTTTCCATTGTCTTTTCCTTCAAAACCTCCTCCTTGAAGCCAACTGCTCCACAACGGGTAGGCTTGTGACGTGAAAATGTCCCGTCCTGAAGAGTGCAACTGTCCCTAAAAGCAGCTCTTGATCACAAATCATCTGAAGAATGTCTTGGACCCCAGCATGGGCGGCTTCCTTATCGCAACAAATGGCAGTGTGCCTCAATTCCAAGCAAGAGGGGGTTCCCCAAACAAAACCCATTTGCGTAAGACTCGCCAACGCGGGCCTTCCCTGGGCGTGCCTTGGAGTTCAGGTGCCAGAGCCGGACCGTCCCATCCAACGAAGCAGTCAGCACTCGCCTGAAGGGCCACTCGGTGCGGCGCTGAAAACCAAACGAGCCAGATCCGAATTGGGAACCTCGACCGAAACTGAGCCCGATGGGGCAGGATCCAGATTGTTTTGTGTCATTTTGTGCTTTGCTTGATGTGATTTGCGTGCTTTATCTTTGATTGGCTTGTTTATATTTTGCGGTTCGGAAGTGCGAGCAGGACAACCACCTCCTAGGCTGACTCATGCTGGGAGGTTAGGACAATATGAGAAGTATTTGGGCTGTCCCACCCCAAACTCCTGTACATTGCCATAGGTATCTGCATTGCTCCAACAAGTAGCAGATCCCCAGGTCAAACTGCCCATGGCTTTGTCCGTGACTGCGCCCCCCCTTCCTTCCGCCCACCGGCACCCACAAATGGGCGCCGGGCAGCGGCGAGCGCACCAGCTGCACCTGATCTCCGTCCCTGAGCCCAGCCTGGCAGGCGCTCATGTCACAGGCGATCAGGGCCCGGGCCGAGCTGCTTTCCTCCCAGACCAGTTTGTCGTGTCCAAACTACCTCATTGCTTTTCCTTTGAAGCCAGTTTGGGATGGGTGGTTGCGGTATATGTGCTTCGACTATTTTGCGGTTGGAGTGGCCAAATACTTGTCCCAACCGGGCCAAAGCTAAGAACAGGCCTCTCAGATTTAGGTCACAAGCCAGCGACAAATTCGAGCTTGAGTATTGCGGAAGGCGGCCTCGGCCAGTGTCATGGACTCGTCCATGATCTGGTTATAGCGCAAGAAGTTGATGGAGCACCTGATTATCGAATCGCGAGTGTCAACGCCGCCCAACCCCTTGACGGGACTCTCGGACTTGTCTGACATGGACCCCGGTTTCGTATCGGCTGGCCGGAGGTCCGGGCCCGCACAGCCCTGAGGCCCCCCACAGGCCGTCCTCCTCGGAGTTCACTACGCCTTCTGACCTAGGGCCGAGGTTCCAAACCGGGGCTGGTCTCCACCTAATGGGGAGGGGGGCTCAATGGCTGTCACTAGCTGGCCGTATCCAGAGGAATTTAAGTAAGGGGTTCTCCAGGAATCCTGGGGTCATGATGGCTACAGTGAAAACGAACATCAACATGATGCAAAATAATTAAGCTTGCTATACTAGGCCTCGAAACACCAGCACTGAGGCAACCAAGAATGTAGGCAACCAGGACTCACAGCAAACAGTGAGGGAGTGATCCTGTAGCTTGCAGTGACTTCCATGGCCAGTCCCAAAACAAATCCAGACCCGAGGCGAGGCTTCGATCCTGTGAATCGACCAGGTGTTGGCCCTGTAACCTGGGATCAACGTGGCAACGCCGTGGGCTGAAAAAAACCAAGTACATCCAAGTACATCCAAGTAGGCAAGAACAAGAAACCCAAGGCGGTCCCATGCAAGAGTGTCCTAGAAGGCGGACACACCTTGCAGTTTTAGCTGTCCTTTTCCACACGTCTGGAGAAACCCAAAACAAAACTGAGAAGGCGCAGGGGTGCAAGGCTGGAAGGACACCCGCAAGGCAAGCTGTGCCCCCGGGCAACAGTGCCTCCTTGAGGCGGAAGGCCGTGTCGCCTCAGATTCGCGGGGATTCATGCATCAGTTGGAAAGACGAAGGAATGGGACTCCGAAACTTCTGTGCATCCTACCCCACCAAAAAGATGCTGATTGCGCCAGCAGACCGCAAAACGAGCTGAACCAACCAACCTCTGACCCCCAAACACCTGAGTCCCGAGCAAGGCCGCGCTCGAACCTCAGAGCACCGTGCAGCAAAAAGCATCATTGTCAGAGTCCCAGCCCCCTCCTTCCGTCATCATTACCCATGACCACCCAACGAAGCTCCATAATCCGGGATTCGTGTGTTTCCCTTTCGAAACATCTCCTTCTCTCCAGGGAACATACATTTCAACTTACCTTTGCGTTGGTAGCCGCCATGGTTCTCTGGCTGTTTACGAATCATGCATGGACACGATATCGTTGGAATTGCAAATTGCGGCAGTAATACCATGTTCAAACAAGATTGTAAACGTCTGAAACAACATTCACCCGCAAAACAGAAGAGCAAAACTGAGGATGGGCTCTCAATCTTCCACGCCTGGCCAAGGTGTCAAAACTGCAACCAGACAACTCACTTCCATGGGTTGGTTAAAAAAGTTTAGACGCTTTGTCACGCACCAAAGCTTTCCAATCTCCAAGGTTGGATTTGCCTGCCAAAAAAATCAGCCTCGGAAATCAGCCCGTCCCTCCATCCCTCCGTCCCTAGGCCGCCGGCCACCGCGGCCAGCTCGCCGCTCATGCCATTCACGATATGCACTTTGACATCTCGTGCCAGCTCGCGTTCCAGCCTTTCCGGCTCGGCTCTTCGCAGTGACTCTCTTAAAACGTGGGAAACTCCCCAAAACCATTTGAGGTCCCTGGATTTCCGTTGAAAACGACCTAATAAAGGCGGCCCAAAAGAACAAAGAATCATTTCTGTGAATGTCGAGTGGCAAATTGAGGACACAACTAGCGAAAGTACAAGCTCCCGTGTCACCCTGAGGAACTTCAGAGTGGTTGCAAAATAGACAGAGATGCACGATCCTTTGGCCGAAACAACCAATTGATTTATGGACCGTGGCTTCTTGACATGGATGGGTGTGCATCTTTGGGGTCCCCATCCGCATGGAGTTTCTTGAATTGTCTTCAAACGTTGTAGGCTTCTGTCAACGCTCGTTGCTCGAATGTAGGTCAAGCAAGAAAATGTTTGCTAACGCAGACAACCAGGATAAAGATTGGAAGTTGGCATCATTGTATGCGCTTGCTTCCAAGTAGAAACCCACAAACGGGATGGGATCCCGAAACCCTTACCTACCCGCACAGCGCACAGCCACCCACAAAAATAAATATACAAGAGTATGGCTCTGTGTTTTTTGAGGGTATCCTTGTTGCGGTTGGTTTCAAGGGAGCCAAAAAACAATTTGCACATACCCAGACCTGTTAAGAAGTGATGCTCACGCTTTTCCAACAAGAATAATATGCGAGATTAACAGGAAAACCTGTTGGTGAACATCATTTCGGTCAACCACTTCTGAGATGGCTCCAACTGCATAGCCGTATGTTAACAAAGCCATGACACCCACCACCCCGAAAAATAAAAAATACAAACGCCCTACCGTTTTCGCTCCCCATGGGCCCGGCTCTTCCAGCTTGGCGCGCACGTGCTCCAGCAGCTCCGAGCTCGCGCCTGCGGCCTGCGCAAGAGAAAAGTCCGAGCAGTTTGGCCGCACTTTGGTCACCATCAAAGGGTTCCAAAGATGGCGGGATTGCCAGGCCGCAACTTAAGCAACTCGTAGGCTTCCTATTGGGCATTTGAAGAGAAATTCCCCAGATCTAGGGCTTGCCAAGCTGAGTTGGTTTGCCCAGTCCACATCACCAGGTAGAAGCGCTCGCGGTTTCTTACCCCAAGCACCCGCTAGTTACCCCATCCCCACAGCACACCAAGTTACCCCCACCCCCCCGTGGCACGCGGAGATGAGACAACAAACGGACATGGTCTGCATCCGAAAAGGAGAGACCTAAAACACATCCCATCCCAAGGCTTCTCACAGGCCGCCTCCGCACGCATGACCGCTTGCCGGAGTTGGTCCAACTCTGGTGAGGGCGGCAGCTGCTCATCTGGCACCCGCGCGAAACGAGGCGGCAATTCGAATTTCGATCAGTCCGTTTTTTGGGGAAGGGGTTGGTGCGAAAGGGTTGGCCTACGAAAGGAAGAGCCGGTCCCCTTTGAGACATGCCGAAATGGCGGAGCCATGGGCTCGCATTTCCGGCAACAGTGAGACAAGAACATCCAAATGGGGTCACCCGGGATTCAGCCAGCATTCCCAGCCCGGAACCGGCCTCTACAACGAAACAACTCTAGAAGTCGTCGACAGTCGACCTTTAGAACTGTTCATAGGGTGCGCATCAAGCCTAAGCCAAAGGAGCGATGGGCTTTTCGAGTCCATGAATAAGAATCCGCCGCGACAACCCAAGATGAAACCTCGCAAACGGTCCTCCGGAAGGGGAAGCTCTCAAATTCCCGTGTTGCCATTTTGACGTTACAGGGTGCAACCAAAACCCATTGACGTTGGGTTGGCTTTAAAGGTTTGTATCGGCCTTACTACAACCTTCGTGACACCAGTAGCACCACTGCCAATGATGTCTTGAGTGGATGATTTGAACAAAGGTGCAGTGGTCTGGGCTCGGGAAGAATCCAAAAGCCCCACACACTCCCTACCCCCCGCCTTCTGGAGTAGGCTCCGAAGCAGAAGAAAAAATGTCCAGCAACATACTGATGGTTGAGCCTCGGCACAAAATTCACCCCCGCCGCCCCCAAAAGGGGCTCGGAGGATTTTGTTCTGTGCGTTTCTGACCTGAAACGGCCAAAAACGAGAGTGCAAACGAAACGTGGCCGAACACTGAGCAAGCCCAGGAACGTATCTGAGTATGCGTCACAATAGGAAAATGGACTCAATGGACCCAAACAATTGCTGATCTTCGTTTTGCTCTCCCTTTAAACTGATCTCAAAAAGAGTTTGGCCTCCCCCCCCAAAAAAAAAAGAGCACGCAAATGCTGCCCAGCTTGGATGCTGGCGTGCTTGGCTCGTGGAGCTTCCGCCCTCACTTCCTGTGAGACTGCGGCTGGCTTCTGCAAGATCTTGGGTTCGCATGGTTGACTTGGATTGGTGGTTTGGAGGAGTTCCGTTGAGTTCCCATTGCAACCAGTTGCCTGAGGTTGTTCCAAAGCTGGGGGGTGCGAAAGATGCAACAACGCTTAACTTGACCGAGGGCCAAACATAATTTTGGACGTGGCCTACAATCTGTGAAGCCCAAACGTAAGGCACTTAGCCCTTGCCGGGCATGGATTTAGGGCAACCCGCGAGAAGGGGACACTATGACAAGCACACACACATATGAGACAGCAAATACAGTGGAAGACAAAGAACACGATTTGTCCATGCATCCCATTCTTGTCTGCGGCCGCAGACATCCAAAGATCAGAAAGCGGATCAGTGGCAGATGAAGTTGGAAAAGCAGTTGCAAGCATTTATTTTTGTGTAAAAGCAAGAAGGAGAGTGGTGAATAGATGCTCGAGCTCAAACAAAGCAAGTCAATGAGCATGATATGTTTTGTGCGTGCTGCACATTTGTGCTCTGCAAAAGCATCGAGATCCAAGGATCCAAACCTTCAACGAACCTTCGCCTCTTCAAATAGGACCGTACTCCTTGGCCAAGTCGGCCGACCAAAGATACGGAAAAAATGTTTCACGGTGGCAACCGCGGTTCTGATCGTTCTGATCCACCTGTCATTTCAGATCTGGCGCCCCAGGTGTAGATTCATGCACGGTCCCAACCCAAACCTAAGCAGGGACCCAGGCCTCGTGCCTGCTTGGGTATGCTCGGGGAGCGGGGAGGGGGTTCAAACGGGGCAAATCGGCCAGCCTGCAGGAGCTGCCCAAGAGGCCTGCGTCGGATACAAGTCTGCAGTCTACCAATAACAATATGTTGCTACACGTATTTGTGGTTGCATGCTGCTTCTAATACTGTTGCTGCCACCACAGCAGCTGCTGCTGCTGACTCTGCTGCTGCTGTTGCTGCTGCCGCTGCTGTTGCTGCTGTTGCTGCTGTTGCTGCTGTTGCTGTTGCTGTTAGTGTTGCTGCTGCTGCTTTTGCTTGGTCCTGGTTCTTGTTTTGTTTGTGTTGCTGTTATTGTTATTGTCATCCTCATTGTCATTCCCCTTGTTTTTGTTCTGGCTTGTTTCTTGTTGCTGTTGTTTCTGCTGTTGTTCTTCATTGCTTGCTCATTATTTGTGTTGCTCGTGTGATTGGTGGTGTGTGTGTGTGTGTGCTGGTGATATTGTTCTTGTTGGTGTTGTCGTCATTGATCGTGCTCTTGTTGCTGTTATTGTCATTGCTGCTGCTCTTGTCAATGTAATCATGATTGTCGTTGTTCATGCGTTTATTGACAATGTGATTGTGTTGGTGATTGGCATTGCTTTTTTGGAGATGGTGATTGTGTTGTTTCTGCGGTTTTGGCTGTTATCCTGCTTTCTTATAGCGATTGCTTCAGTTGCTCTTAGTGTTGTTTTGTTTAATGCTCCATACACCGATGTGCTAGGCGGATTGCTCCGAGAAGACGCCAATCAAAAGCCAGGACCCTAGAGCACCGAACCGCTCAAAAAGGTTTCAACATGTATCGCCAGGTTCAGGGTGCCAAGACGCGGAAGCTATCAACATGGGCATGTGTCAAATTGCCCCGAAATGGTTCTCCTGTTGTGCTTGGGGCTCGTCCCTTCAATCAGCTTGCAAACAAACAGCTGGGTTCAAAGGCGCCTCCTCATCACCATCCTCTGGGGCCCAACCCCTGGCTGACGCAGCCTCAGAGCGAGCTGTTCGGCGAAAACCGCCGAGAGGCCACTTAGGATTGAAAGCCCCCATACTTAGCCTCTTTCCAACCATACAAGTAGGCAAGGGCCTTTTCAAGATGGTAGTATTTTGAAATCCTGCCTTCCTCCTTGATCGAAAAGAGGGCACCCCAAAACACAAGAGGGCACCCAAAACTCAAAAATAGTGATTCGGTTTGGGTTGGGACTGGGGAAGAAATTTGTCCAACCAACCTCTTGGGAAAGAATCGGAGGCCAATGCTTTTTGGCCGTTCCTGGGCATGACTGCTGTGACGCCCCTGGGTTTGGGAAAGAGCCTTCACAAGTGCTTCCGCTACTATCCGCCTCATTGCAAAGTCCCTGCAAGGGAAGTACACCTCGCTGGGAAGTCGAACTCACCAAGGGAATCAGCATCTGAGTGAAAACACGTATGTATTAAACGTGGTCTACCGAAGACCGTGAGAAGAAACAGAGCGTATATTCATGAGCAAAACCGTTGTTTCTGCAGCCTCCCACTAAAGATGAACAGAACAAAAGAAACTGAATTGCCGAAAACCTGCCAATGATAGTGAAGAAAGCATGAGCCCAGTGGTAACTGACGGGACCGGCAACGAAGTCCAATCCCGAATGGGATGCGCGAGTCCCCCGGCCAGTCTCCAGACATCCCTGCGCGGGTCTTTCTCCTGCGCTCTCAAGCGTCTCACAATGCCCCTTCTGAAGGGAACCCACATCTCTCATTCTCAAAATTGGGATCCCAGGCGCTTGGTGTCCCTGTTCTGTCCACGAGAAGGGGTTCCCTATTTTGAACAGGCCCGCAACCCAAAAGCTTGGTTCGGAACTTCCCAAAGCCCGACCGAGTCCTCTTCTTTGCTGGAGTCCTGCGTTGGACGAGGTACATGTGTAGTCTGCTGGCCGAGCGTGACATATTACTATCAGGCATAGAGTTACAAACCTCCAGTCAGCTTGTCCCTTTGCCAAGAGACGATCACAGTGCAGGCTGCACTGGGCTGCACTACTTGCTACCATCTGAAGCGGACTCGAAAATAGATTTAGTTTTCTTGCTGGCTTCTCTTTTGAACTCAGGTGAAAAGGGTACCCTCAAAACACGCGCACAAAACCATGTCCCAGATCGGAGGCTTCACCAGTAGAGACCCAATCTTCTCCCGGAATTGCTTCGCGGAAGACAAGTGAGGGTGTGCTCTAACGCAGGGCCTTCCAAGCATCGAGCTACTTTTCTGGGTCTCAAAACGACAAGTTGTGTTGGCTTCACTTAGAAACAGGGATGTGCCTGAATACATGGCGTAGCGCTGCCAGTGAAACTCTGTTCTATCTTTGTAAGTTGAAGGCTGTAAGTCGAAACAAAACCAAGTTTTCACTTGTGCCAGCGTGCATCTGGGCCCGCCTTGCTACTGCCATGCAAGTTGCTCAGTCTTTGCCCAGAGGGCGATCACAGCAGCGCGTGTTGTTGCGCCAGGTGTGTGCAAAGGTTGGCCTAGTCATGCTGTGATTCTTTAATGCTTCCAAGCTCCGTCAGAGGTGTTGCGCGCAGGAGGTGCAGAAGGGACGCCCAGTCTGCCACGGCTCTCTGCGTAACCCAAGCCGCAAGCAAAGAGAAGAAGTGTGCAAATGCAGGGGCGCGCGAAGGAGAGAAGACAGCAAAACGCGGGTCCAGAGAGCGTGCAAGGGCAGCAGAAGAGGCTCTAAGACGGCAAGCCGCAAAGAGTGCCCATCTTTAAGCAGAGGCCTTTGCCGACAGAGCCCGTGCCAGGCAAGCAATGCACAAGTGCAGATCCCACGGAACCGTAAAGAAGCAAAACAAGGCCTGAAGCGAAGCTGGAGCGGACGAAAAGCCAGCAAAACAAAGCAAGATCACGAAGGAAAGCGCGAAGAGCAACGGCAGGGAAAGCATGAGCCTAACAACAGCTGTCGGAGGCACGAGAATAGACGCATGCAGGCAGTGAACAACCTCATTACCCTCCCCCACCCCCAACCCAACAAACATCATCCAACAAAAAAGAAGAAAAAAAACAGTTCCAGAGCGGCCCAGCCGCCCTCCAACCGTAGGACAATCGCATCTCTCCTCGGGCTTCCATCCTCGCGCACTCGCAGCCTGGGCAAATTCGGAGCCAGGGCCTGGGTCATCCTAGCGGTTTGCAAGCATTAGGTCAGATATGTCCCAGTAGGCACAGGGGGTCTTCTAGTTGATTACAGAGTATGCCTCAATATAGGATCTCCTTCTTCCAATGGTTTGTTTGGGATTTGGGTAAAAACCCACAAATGCGGAAGCATTGCCATTCATGCCCCCCTTTCATGGCCAAACACGCGAATGCCAGAACTCGGAGACTTCCGTGCACTGCACTCAGAAGCGGCGCTGGACCCAACAGAATCAAACTTCCCATAGGATGGCCAGTGAGACATCCCCTTCATCTCAATGCCTAAGAAACAACTTTCGGCAGAAACAAACAAGGCCCTCTGTGTCCATGCTCCAGCTGCCAGGCATGAATGAATCGTAATGCTTGCTGTCCAAAATGAGAATGTTGACACTGCGATACTGGCGTCCTGCAGAATATGGACCAAAGCTTCCACCCCCCATCCCGCCCCCCCCCCCCTCAGCACATGCTTCTTCTACAGAAGCAAGCCATGGTTCCCGCCTTGTTCCAAACGTCCCTCTCTTTGTTCTTCTCTTTATCCTTCGACTTGTCGTTTTTGCACGTCCCATCCTGGCAAGTGGCAGGCAGCTCAAGCTCTCAAGCCTGCTACGACTGAATTGAGCATGCATGCCCTAAACGCTGCAAAAGCATTGAATATATTTTGAAGTCTTACTTATGTTAGCCATGGCACTTCCGAGCGACGACTGACGGAAAAAGTGCGTGTCGGGCATCTTCCGGGAATCGCTTTACTCCGGCTTTGGTGCGGGGCATTCTGTCAAGAGCATTCAGGCCAGCATTTTCAAAGAATCCTGCCTTAGTGGAGATGCACTGGCACCTTCAAGTCCCCAAGCAAGGCTTTGGGGTTTGTTTCTTTCGGGCCGTAAGATCTTGCAAAGTGACCGTCTACACACCAGGCAAAAACCGTTGCGGCACTTCCCGGTGCCTTTTGAAGGTGGTCATCTTCACGATCAGTGTCCTGGGCAGCAGACGCCAACGCGCCGCACCAACATACACCGAATACACGCTTCTACTTCCGAGGGACAAGCAACACGCATGTACCAGACCGGCTTGAATCAACCTGCCCAGCAACAAGAAGGTGCCAAGCCCAGTTAGTTGGCATGCCAATGTGCTACGCGGAGAGGACTTTCTAGTCACATCCGCGTCCTTCATCTCGTTCCGGGTACCTGCACGGGTCTCAAAGGAATCGGCGGAATCGGACTGGGAGCAAGTCGTTTCTGGATCGTTTCGTCCGGAGATGCTCTCACTGGCTTCCCAGCCCTGCGTCTTTCCACGGCCAGTCGCAAACCTTTCAGACAAGGGAACGCCACGGCCCGACTTCAAGCCAACCGGAGGTTGGATTTGGTTCTGCGTCTATGACTTGCACGTTGGGTCTTGGAAGTGAGAAAAGTGCAAACCACCATACCCGCAGTTGGTATCCATGCATTGAACCTGCGACATCCTCCGTGATAATGTGTTTGGCAAAGACAAGTGCGTCCCGTTCACGCCTGAGTTTTGCCTAAGCTTTTTGCTAAAGCATGACGACCTATATTCAACAACACAGGTGCACAGTGGTCAACGCGCCTGCTTTCCCACAAATGACATCGAACACTTGCTAGGCGCGAGCCATGTGACCCTTCACCCAGCCTTCTTCATTGGACTCATCTGGGATCGAATCGTTTTTGCCTCAGCAAAGGGAAAGTAAGCCAAGTCTCTGCCAAGCCCTTGATGGATAGACAACCACACCCGCCCTATGAAAAATAATCGTACGAAACTGCCCCGAAACACTCCGGAGGGCAAAGCTTTTCTGGTGGATAGGACCCCAATGAGGCATCAAGCATGTTTGAAGATCTCTTGGCCTGCTGAGCTGGACCCAAAATATCAACAGCCCGTCTACAGAACGCATTCAGCCTTCGCATGAATACCTGGCGCAAACTGCTTGCTTCCAACAGCCACAATTAGGAGTCAAGGCCGGATCCAGAAAGCCACAAGAGTCACAAGCAGAACTAGGGGCTCAAAAAACTTGTTGCAGATTCAAAACCGAGGTCTGACCTGTAATTGCTTCCTGCTGGGTTCGCGGCTGATAGCGGCTTCCTGACAGCACAGTGGGACAGCAGCTGAATGTGTGCAAAAATATGCCGCGGGGATCGTATCTCTTAACACCTTCGCAGGCAGTCGGAAATGAAAGTTTACACACATTTCGATGGAACAAATCCGCCGACATTGTTTAGCATGTCACCATCAATGACACACAACACTACACCGCTGCCAATCCTCGACAAATGGCTGTGGGTCAAAGATAGGTGCCCAAAATGGAACCCTGGTAAGTGGAAACACGGACCAAAACCTGCGGTGCCCTGGTGGTGTAATTTTGACCCACACCCAAATACGCAGAAGGGCAGCCAAGTACTGCGCAGACAAATTTGTCACGTGTCACACTTTGCAGCGTTCCCAGATGCTTCGGGACCAACCCGAAGCTTGTCCGGCGCAGGGTTCCCAGACTCCCCAGGTCCGCGGCCAGTTTGGGGTGCCATGTGAGTTACAAGCGAAACCCGTAGGAAAAAAATGTACCCGCAAACAAGACCGCATCTCATTGTGGCTGGAACCGCCTTCTGGTAACCTCCAATTATCCAGCTTTTCATTTTGGCTCATGTAGGTTCGCTGAGTGCTTGCGCTTCCATGGCACTGCAAAAACAATGCCGGGAATCATGGGTGAAGCGTGACGCAGATGGCTTCAATTGGTTCATCGCTGACGAAACCAGGACGCCATTTTGCAAGGGTCTGCATTGCACCAAGCTCGACCATTGCCGGCCGAATCGTGCCAGAGCACCAAACGATATCCTTTTCATAAGGGAAGCTGCTTGCCCAGGAAGCCTCAGCAGTTTCTATTCATGCACACAAGAATGATGCAATACATCCAACACCAGCGTGGGGCTTGTCCCCAAACCAGAACTCCCAATGCCAATAAAGGGTAATAAAGGGTAAACCCGTTGAATTTCCTTTAAAACACGAAAAAAAGAGTGAGGACCCTCACAAAAAGGCAAGCCCAAATGACTTATCGTGGGGCAGACCTTGGGGGCAGGATGTATGTGGGGGCTGATGTACGACCAGGTCTAATTAATAGTGGGGCCGCTCTCCCAAAAAAAAGAAACGCTCTTACAGGGGACAAGTTCTAACAAGCTTCCAACAAGCAACCAGGGATAAATCCGTTCAGATTTTCTTCCAATCCTGTTGCATTCCACCAAGACCTCGGGGGGAAAAAAAAAAGTCCCCACCTCACACGCCACTCGTGATTCCCCCCGGCTTGTGAAGATCCCAATCAGCGTGGCGACCTCGGCGCGAAGGCCACTCCGCAACTGTGCGATTCGCTGATCTCAGCCATAGAGGTGAAGAAAGCCAGCTCTTCAGGACAGCTGAGGTCTTTTTGCACAAAATCCTGCGGTTCTCTTTGTGAGTCGTTGTGCGCAAAAAAACGGTCGAATCCGGGCTCATCTAAGTGCCTGTCAGCCTGCGCCATGGCCTGCGAAGCCGCACGGGCTGAAACCGCACGGACTCCAAGTCTCTACACCGGGCACCAAAGGGAAACCGAATGGAGGTTGTTTCAACAATCGTGTTTTAAGCATCTTTGGCATTGTGTGAAATCAAATACGGATTCGGACCCCCCAAAAGGGCGGTTTTCCTTTTGGTCTCCCTTTGAGTCGCTCACTGGTGGACCCCTGTTTGGTTGGCGGCCAAAGGGATACCAAAGGAAACAACCCATCTTTAGAAGACCCTGCTTTGAGAAACCTACATCTGCGTCTCTCAGAACACACAGACACGCACATCTCGAATTGGCCAGGCCTGACCCTGCTCGTGCGGCAGGAAGAAAGTATTTGGGTGGTGAAACCAAACGTCGGGTGTCAGGGTGCCCGCGAAAGCAAATGCGAAAAAGTGCGAAAGTGGTCGTAGACTTGTGCCTTGTCTTCAATCAAATGCTTACTTATGAAAAGCTTGGACGTAAACGTTCGACAGCCACCTATCCAAACGAGTTTCAGAGACCGTGCGCGCTGGAGCAAAACGGCCGCCAAAACGCCCGCAGCACAACTCAAGTGTCCAAGTCTGCCAATTGAGAATCGGAGTGCGTATACTAAACCTTAGTTTTCCATGTGACAATATGCTGTTGTTGTGGTTCCGAATTACGTCCATTGACTACCCACGAGTAGTTCCAACACAGATCCTCAAGGCCTAAACCTTGCAGGGGTCGAAAACCAGTCAAATGGAACCGTGCACCAATGCTGCTCTTCTCCTCCGCAACTCACTCTGCGCAGGACGCAAAGGGTGGCTGCCTAAACGCTTCCTACGCTTTTGTCGCCCAAAGGTGTAACCCAGTTGCAGCCATGGTCACAACAAATGTATCTGAGGCTAGTTCCCTTGCGGATCAACTTTGAGCAAAGTCCAATCGATTCGCTTTGGGCAGGTCTTCGGATCTCAGCTTCAAATCGTGATTCGAAAACGACCCAAATTTGGACTTGGTGTTCTTTTTTATTTTTTTCCGCATGACTCGTAGGCGTTTGAAGCTTAAAGACTCGTCCAAAGCGCCCGTAGTTGAAACTGCGCAATTCGACCGGCCTCCAACCAGCCTGGACAATAGATATATTGTATTCCGCCCCATCTGGACAGTCTTGAACACAGATTCCGCTTGGCTCTCGGCTGCATACACTTTTAGGAGTCTTGCAGGAAACTCGAACAACATGTTTGAAATGGCACAGTCAGTCCTAATCGCTGGTCTGCAAGCTGCAATAACATGGGCATTCATGGGCATCGACAAGATGCAGGCATTCTAAATTTGGCAAGAAGGGCGAATAAGACTGGTCGAGAGGCCAAGAACCTTCCATTCAACCAGTCGTTCAACTTTGCTGTTAAGATCACATTTCCTTGTGAACGAGTTTGCTTTTCGTTTTGTTTGAAATAACGGAACCCTGAAAGCAAATATTTCTAGCTCCGCGGCGGCTTTGCCAGATTTCAACGAGAATTGAAAGACAGAGTCAAAACACAACATCCAATTTGGAGCCATCTCACTTTGTTTGCTTCTCCAGATCATCGAAAATCTACGCATATCAAAAATTGTGCCTTTTGACCCACAACTTGTTTTACACGTCATTTAAGTTGTCTAATTATGGGTGCATGTGGGTGCATGTGGGTGCATGTGGGTACATGTGGGTACATCTCGACTTTGTGTGTTCTTGTGTCTTTAGTGGTGCATTTGTTTGCCATGTTTAGGTTCAAGCAGTCGTCGAGGGTTTGCCAATGCCAAAAAGCAGCATGTGAACAGAAGCTCCAAAAAGACTGGCGCCGCAACCGCATAAAGTAGAACCTGTCCGAAAAAAGGCAAGCAAGAACAAAAACAAAGATGATGGCATACAAAGTTTCAATCGGCACCTGCCAATCCTGCCAGTTCGAGCAGTCAAAAGCTGCCAGCACACGGAGCATTCCAAAACTCGGCCACTCGCACCTAAAACAGTCCGGCGGTAAGTGCCACGTGGGCTTCTCGATTCTAACACGACTATTGCTCTCCTGCCGCTCGACGGTTCGGTGCTGCGTTCACAAACGAGGGTACTTGTTGCCAAAGTACCTTCTGTTGCAAGTGCCAGCAATCAAATGCACGGTAACTCACTTCAGGCGGAGCTGTTGCAGTCGCATGTTACGGGAATCCGACTTGACAATTCTGTCTGTAGCTGCCGCCGAGTTCGGGGTTCCGCAGGGTTCAAAGGTTCCACGCAGCGCAAGTTCCAGGAGCTGGACTTTCTCGATCTTACTTCGTCATTCCTTTCTGTTGTGGCTGCCATTGTGTGCCGGCTTTTTGGACTGCAATTTTTTTATCCTGGCGGCACCACGCCTCTGTGTCTTTGGATCCAGCGTTGTACTGAGACCGCTGCACATAGTAGCATAGCATCAGCCCCTCCGGCGCGTCCACCATGCTGATGCCTCTGACATGCAGCTGCTCGCGCATCTCATCTGCGATAACCGTTGCTGGCCACAGGTGGGCAAGACTATGCTGGTATGCTCTGCACAAAACCTGGCACCAGTTGAGAATGATTGCGAGCCTCCTTCCTAAGTGAGCACCTGAAACGGTGCAAACACCCTTGAGCAGACACCAAGAGATGTACTCGGAGGCTGCCGAACGTCCACGCACCCCGCAGCGGAAAACACAAATAGCGGCGTCCGAGGTCTTGGAGACGCAGTTACTGTTGCAATGGCCTGACAAGTACAGCTAGATCCAAAGGTAAAAGATTCTCGACAAGTTCCATACCAGACCAAGTCCTAAACCTCCTCACGAAGTCAATTCTGGCCAGCATACACACGGACCTGGGCTCCGTTTTGAAGCAACAACTGAAAGTGGCCAAGCCCGTGCAGCAGGGCGCTGGGTGTTAAAAGGGCGTGATATCATTCAAACAGAAACGAGCCTGGCACGGATGGCAAAACGTGAGAAGGCCTCGGTTAACGTGCCTTCTCTGCAGCTTTGGCTCTGCTTGCAGCTGCAAGTGGTACGGACTGTAAAGATGCCGAGGGCCCTGGTGCTGGAAAGGAGTGTGAGCATCAAGCCCCTTTCACGAGTGCCGCGGAATGAGGCTTTGGTGATCATGCGCACTTTCGCGGACTGAGACATGGGTTGGCTCTCGTCTTTGCCAAAACGAACGGGGTGCCCAAAGAAGCTAGTATGCGACCAAACTTCTGCGAACCTGTGTCACAAACTTCTGCGAATTTCTGCGAACCTCCGGCACCTCCCGCAAGCTGCAACCCCCGCGCCCCTTCGGCAAGTTTCTGCGAACCGCAGGCCCCTTCCACAAACCTGCACGAAAGCCAAAAGCGGTGCCACGAAGCCCAACACGTTCTGCGGAGCCCTGCAGGGGCCCAATCTGCACTGGAGGCTTGCCGCCCTCTGCGTACCAGTTGCTTGCAATTTGTTTGTTCGGGGCGGATGTCAACCCATTCGTTCACTGCGGAGTCATCAAATGTGCTGCATCAAGGTCTCGGCCTCCAATAGCCAGGGCAAATCTGCGGCTTGCAATTCAGCAGCGACAGCTTGTTCCCTCAAAGCTGTCTGTCCAAACAGGCGCAACACATGTGCTGCAAGCATGTTCAGCCTGGGGCCAGGCCTATTTCTGTACGGCCGCCTTGCCAGCTTTGGTTGCCTGCAGGGGTGTTCTCATGCTGCCGTGATCTGAGAGGGAACGCTCACGCGACTCTGGCAGCAGCATGGCGGTGTTCTACACAAGATCAGCGGTGACTGATGTACGTATTTAAGTATGTGTTTTTTTTTTTTTTGTGTGTGCGTATATTCACACATATATATATATATATGAGCCAGCGTCAAAATTACTTGTTTGGGGTGTGTTCACTCACAGGCGCATGCATTCTGAGAGTGGGCTAGCTTAATTACTTCCAGCAAGTTTCTTCTTTTGTTCCTTTTGTCAGGTGGAAGGGGTTAGTCTCACTTTGTACCTGCCCTTGCCAAGCTTTGCCCCCGCGCTGACGCCAGGCAGGGGCGCGTTGAATATTGTAAGTACTATGTACATACACACATAACGCACATATACATATGAGTTCGCTTCAAAATTTCTGCAGTTTACTCCATGTAGGAGTGTCTCACGCACGTTGTGTTGTTTTCTCTCGAAAAACGGTATGGGACGTCCAAAATAAAACAACACCCCCCAAACCCGAGCACAAACGTGGAGAAACTGGAGTCATCCAAGATAGTAGCTCAGAGGTTATAGATCTAGCCCCCGAAACGAAAGAAGGCACAGCAAGCCGAAAGAACGGAGTATGACGATTGCACGGCACGTGCTGTTTCTCTAGCGAGAGCTGCTAGTCTGAGCGCGAACTTTGCGCGCGCAAGCGCCCAGAACGCTGAAGCTTGAGGTCTGCGTAAAGCACTGCAGCAAGTCGCCAAAGAAAAAGGGAATGCTCCAAAGCGCATCCAAATGAAAGACCCATACAGAGACGGAGCTGCGCGCAATTGTCTGCTTTGTCTGCTTTGTGTTTGGTACGTAACTACCCTCGAGGGCTTGTCAAGAGACGGCAACGCTCAAGAAAAAGAAAAACTATGGCCACTACACTCCGCCTTCGAAATGCCACGGGCGCTAAGCTCGAGCGCGTAGTACTCCTAGCAACACACATTGAGGGACGACGCCCGTCAGTGACGCTGCACGCGCAACTGCGTCAAGCACTGCGAACGCACCTCTGGGGTGCGGCCGGCATCCTCGAATCCCAGCAACGCTCTTGCAACTCTGGCGCCTGGACTGCGCGCTTATGGCAAAGCGTGACGTGCGACGATTGCGCGCGCATTTCCGCCGGGACTTGCGGCGCAATGTTCCAGTGGCAGGCTTGCCAAGGACAACTGCCTGTTACGACGCCGAAGTCCACGTTTTTCGGAGCACTTGACTCGATAGACTTGCCGGACTTAGTTTGGGGACCAAAACGGAAGAAGTAGAGAGAGACAGAGAGAGAGAGAGACAGAGAGACAGAGAGAAAGAGAGAGAGAGAGACAGAGACAAAGAGACAGAGAGACAGAGAGACAGAGAGACAGAGAGACAGAGAGACAGAGAGACAGAGAGACAGAGAGACAGAAAGCAGAGAGACAGAGAGACAGAGAGACAGAGAAACAAAGAGACAGAGAGACAGAGAGACAGAGAGACAGAGAGACAGAGAGACAGAGAGACAGAGAGACAGAGGCAGAGACAAAGAGAGAGACAGAGACAGAGACAGAGACAGAGACAGAGACAGAAACAGAGACAGAGGCAGAGAGAGACACAGAGAGGAGGCAGAGAGGGGCAGAGAGACAGACAGAGAGGAGGCAGAGAGAGGCAGAGAGGGAGAGAGAGAAGAAGAGAGAAAAACCGAGAGTTATTGTTTTTGCCCGAGGCTCTAAAATATGTGTATAT